GGCGGCTCCGGCGGGGTCTGTTGTCCCTGCGCCGCTCTCGGCGGGCCGCGCCGGGCCGGGGGCGCTTCCTGCGGGATGCGACGGGTGGATGGAGCCGCCGCCGGAGCCGAGGGGACGGGACCCCCCCCCCCGCGGACCCCTCCTCTTCCCCGGGGGGCGGCTCCGCACGCGGCGGGTTTGGGCATGGAGGGGGTCGGGCAGCGCGTACCCCCCAACGGGGGCAGGTGCCGGGGGGCGGCGAGACCCCCCTTGGCGGGGCGGGCTCCGTGTCGTGTCCGCCCGCTGCCCCCCGGGGCGCCCCGCGCCTCCCGCTGCGCTCCTCTCCCCGCCGGGATCCCGGCGCCGGGAAGGGCCCCGGTGCTCCCGGGTCCGCGCGGCGGCCGCTCCGCTCCCGGGGGAAGCGGCGATTGCCATCCCGGGAAGGCCCCGGGAATCGCGGCGCCCTTCCCGTCGCTCCCCGCTTGCTGCTGGAGCAGCCGGGCGGGCTCCGGCGCAGCCGAGCGGGATGAAACGTAACCTCGGGACACAGTTTGGAGGTGGCTGCGCTCGCAGCAGGGTTTGACTGTTGAAAATTCTCCTTCCAGGCCCCTCCAAGCTGTGGCCCTGCGTTCCCGTGTCGAAATCCACCCGCTGGGTTGTGCGTTTGAACCAGGAGGACTTTGCTGCTGGCTCACAGTGACCCTCTGAAGTGGAACAGGGAGGAGGTAAAGAGGCTCCGTGCCCCTGTGTCCCCAAACGCCCAGGAAGCAGCCACTTCCCCCTGCCCTCACTGGTGCTTCCTTGGGGCTGGAGGGGAGGCAAAGGCACGGTTCTGGTTTGGAGCGGGAGCGCGATTGAGCCCACGGGACGGTGCTTCTGGAGGGGACTGAGTGCTGCGGTCCCTGAGGCTCCGCTGCAAAGGTCACGCGTCCTGCCCCGGCGCAGCCGGCGATCACGTTTGCAAGGACAGGTGGCCGCCGCTGCCGGGAATGGCGCTGAGCCGAAATCCCGGGCACAGGCAGCCTGGCCCCTCGCTCGCATTCCGCCCCGGTGCTTCACCAGGCCGCGTCCCGTCACTGTAAGGCCGCATCGTACCCCGGGGTGACAGGCCCAGAGCTCCTTTCCAGAAAAAAAAAGAGAAGGAAAAGTTGCATAATTCTGGCTGAGATGCTCCAGACTGTTGTTGCATGTTTGGAGTCGTGTGTTTGTGCCTGGCAGCCTGTGCTGTCTCTCACCCAACGCGAGCCGGCAAGTTCTGCCTGCGCTGTTGAGTATGGGTGTTTGGTGGGGCCTGAGGAGGATGGAGTCTCCGCTGTCCTGCTCCCTGTGCCTTGGCACTGCTGGGTCTGGCTTTTGGGGTTAAAACTGCTGCTTGGTTCCATTGTGATTCCCTTGGGCTTGGGGTCTGTCCCCTCTTCTCCTGAGAGGTCTCGTGCTCCCGCAGGGCAGGGCTGTCTGGTTCACTGTCCTCTTGCCTCAGCAGTCCCTCCTCCTTGGACACAAGTTGCTGCCTCTCCTCTTCCCCTTTAGCTGAGGAAATTGCTGGCTCAGGTCCCGTCTCCTCTTCTTCCTCTTTTCGGGTCAGGCTGAGGAAAGTGGGGATGGCCGCGTACAGGCTGTGCTCGCAGGGCCAAGCGGCCGGCGCGCCGGGCAGGCAGAGCTGCTCCTCTGCAGCCCCGTCCTGGCTGCTCCTCCCGTCCCTCCTTCCCTGCTTGTGCTGCAGCCCCTGGCTCTCCTCGCACGCGGGTGGCTGCTTTCCACGCTCCGTGGGCTGGCCGGTCACGGGAACCCCAGCCTGGCCTTGGGCTGCACTTCCAGAGCCCTGATGTGAGCTGACTTCAGGCAGGTTTTTAGTGGCATCTTTGTGAAGTCCTTCCCTTCCTGCACCACTTGAGCACCCAGCGGTGCCCGGCAAAGGGCCGGGCTGGTAGAAGTGGATCAGACTCAGCAGTTCCCCACCTTGGCCCTGTGCGAGCCGTGCGGATGGATCCCCCCGAGCGTCTTTCCCGTGGTTAATGTGTAACGCGCGCGCCCGGACTCGCTGCCTCCCGCCGGGTGACACCGGGCCCCGTCCCCGCGCCGCAGCGGGACCCCTCGCTGGCAGCCCCAGCGCGGGAGCAGGAGTCCCATGGGTGCAGGAGTCCCAGGGGAGCGCGAGGGGCACTCGGCTCCGCACCAGGGGGACTCAGTGCCGCGGTTGGGGACTCGGCTTCCCGCGCCTCCCGGGAGACTCCGCTGCTGCCGTGTTTAAAAATAGACTTTGCACTGGCTAATCGTCAGCCAGAAGCGTGGAGCAGAGGCGGGCAGGTGAGGTGCCCCAAGAGAGGGTAGGGAAGGTGGCCACTTGCTTTATTTCCCCTCAAAAAATAGCTAGTTCTTGTTGGAAGACATTGGTGGCGTTTCATTTGGAAGCACCACGCGTTTCTCCTGGGCCGTGTGTGCAGTGCCTGGTTGTAGCAATGCTCTGCAGAGCGTCTTGTCACCGTGTGCCATAGGGGCTGGGACCCTTGGAGCCAGGGTCACTCCGTGGAGCTGCTCCCCTGTCCTCATCCTTGTGGGAGAGCACCCGGCTCCTCTGTCCTGCTCCAGCCGTGGCCGGTGGAGAGTCCAGCCCTTCGGAGCTGGGGGGACGTTGCAGGAAGAGCCTCTTCCCAGTTCAGCCTCTTTTCCTTTGGTGGGAGCAGCAGGGTTGGTCGGTGGCTTGGAGGCCTCTGCTGTGCAGGCAGCTGCTGTGGCTGGAGGAATCGTTAATCCGGCAGTGGATGAGGATCCTGAAGCCTTTCCACACCGGACAGGCCTTTCTCAGGCTCCGGATGAAAGGAAGGCCCTTTAGTGCATCTGGGCAATGAGTCAAAGCACGCATTTGATGGGAGGCAGGTTCAGGGCAGGTGGTTTGACCATTAAGTTTGAGGCCAAGATGCTGTTCCATTAATATTTTAGTGGTAGGGACAGTAAATGAGAGGAAGGAAGATTGTTTCCATTTCTATCTGCTTCAGACAACCAGTCTGAGTTCTAAGATCTGTAGAGTATAAATAGTATCTGGAGCGATAAAGACTGTTCAGAGCAATAAACTCTCCCCATCCCAGCCCCCCGACAGGGCTGTCGGCAGGTCTGGATGAATCCATAGCGCGTGGATGGGGTATTCTCCCCGCGGCTTTCTCTTCCCCACATGAGCCGGTGTGTGTAGCCCCGGAGGAGGCCGGGCAATCCCGAGTGTCCCTCTTCCTGCAGCGGTTCTTCCTGCTGCCCTTTCCGCGGCGGCTCTTGCGGGATGCCGCGCATGCCGCGCGCCTGCCCGGGGTGTCGCGTTGCACCGGCCGCCTCGGCGCTCGGGATCCCCCCGCGAGCACGTGGAGGCCTCCGAGCTCATCTCATCTGCTTTTCGGGGCGTAGCAGCTGCCCGGGTTTCCTCGTGTCCGCCGATAAATCCCAGCCCCAGGGTGCTGCGGGCCGGGAGCCGTCGCACGGAGGCTGCTCCTGGCTCCCACTTGCCTCAAGGAATCCCCTCCGTGCTCTCTCTCACTTCTGCTCGCAGCTTGGATTTCACTTCTTCGTGAGGGCAGGAGCTCGCGCCGGCTCTCGGGTCGCCCTGCTTGCCCAGGCTGCACCAGATCCCTCGGCATCCGTCACCAGGATCCATCCGGATCTGAATGCAGCACAGCAGTGCTGCCAGCGATCGCCTCTCGCCTGTGCCTGCACCCAGGGTCTACACTTGGCCGGTTCCCAGATTCCCAAATCCTTTTATTTATTTATCTAGTTTTCCCTGGACTTGCTTTCTCAAGTAACAGCACTGGGGGCCCTGTGCTGCTCCGAGAGCAGCTTGGGGATGAGCTTACGGTGGCTTTCAACAGCAGAAGTCCACACCAGCACAATAATCTCAATTTCCACTTTATCTGCCCACGCAGCTTCCTTCTGAGAACAGACCACTGTTTTTTTCCTCTTTTTTAAACAATTATTATTTCATCTTTTGTTTAAGGCTAGAAGCGGTCCTTGAGGTTGTTCCAGCTCCCTTTCCATGAGCCCTGGGCAGGTGTCTGAGCCACAGGTAGCACCTCCGAAGGCTGCAGCCTCTCTGGAATGTCCCTAGGAACATGCCGTGTCCTTGGAGCCGGGATGGAAGCAAGTTGCCCTTGTTCTGGGGTGGGAGGAAGGCAGCATAAATTTGCTGCCTGCTTTCATGTCTCCTTCCCGTGCTTTGCTGGCAGCAGCTGCCTGTGGCTCAGTGAGTTATTTTGGAAAGTGGGGCAGGATTCATGGAGGGGATGGAGGCACCGAGATGCAGGTAGATCCACCCTGGGAAACGACTTCTTGCATGGATCAGCGGGTCCCATCGCCGTCCTCTCGACCATCTCTCCCCCAGGCTTCACTGGTGTAAATTGGCCTTTTAATGTCTGTCACCCCCAGACTGATGAGAGGAAAATGCTGCAATGCCTCTGTACGCGTCGCGACGAATTTCCAAGTCTTGCTTAGTGGCTGGGCGCTCCTTTTTATTTATTTTTTCTATTGTCTTGGATTTTTTTTTTTTTTTTTTTGAAGTGTTGTCTTGCACCTTGGCTTTGGGATGATCCCACTCTGCATCTCCTGGAGGGACGGATGGGGAAAAGCTGCGTGTTCCTGGGGCTGACATGGGGATGGAAGGGAATATCCATTGGCAGCTGCTGCCTTTCCCTGATTTCCCTCTCCTGCAGCCATTCCCGCTCGGCTCGACAAAACCCGGGCGATGCAAATCCTCAAGGCGAGTCCCCTCTGGCTCCTCCAGACCGGGAATCCTTAACGGTTTTCCGAGGAATCGATAACACTTTGCATGGTCATAGCCATAAAACAAGGACAATTTATGGCTGCTGCCAGGGCAAAGTTGCCCAGCAGACGAGGGGGAACTATGCAAAAACCCTTTCCCAAGGCTTCTTTGCTCTGGTGCTTTCGTTCCCAGTGTCCCCATGGGGTGCCCAACTAACTGGGGCCATAAAAGCTGGGGAGGATGCAGGGGAGAGAAGAGCCTCCACCGTGCAGTGCTGCATGAGCTCTAAATCTGGGCCAAGTGAATGAATAATTCACATCCCAGCAGGTCCTGAGGGAGCTCGTGACAGGGACGCCAGGGAGAGCAGCCGTCTTCAGGGCTGCTGCGGCCTCGGGTCCCTTGGTGCCGCGGCACCTCTCGCGTCTGAGGTTACGTGGGTGTTTGTGCGAGATAAACCGAGGCTACCGCTCCCACGCCGTCGTGGAGAAGGAGCCGTTGCAAGGCTGGTGGAGGAGGGTTTGTCTCGAAGTGGGCCCTGGTCCCCTCTTCCCCCATCGCAGGATGGCCTGGGGGTTCTTCTGCCGCGGGATCTCCGTCAGCTGCAGCGTGACTGGGGGAAAATGAGCCTTTGTTTTTCCCTTTGTTCCAGGGAAAAACTGCTGCAGGGATGCGGTGTGTGCTAACACCGCTCTGCTAGTTGCTGGGTACCTGCTTCCCAGCCTGGAAATCACATTAATTTAGCATCACGCTCACATCTCGGTGCTCGTGCAGCTGGCGCGCGCAAGGCTCGTGCCGAGCAGCACAGCGCCCGTGGGTGCTGCTTCCCCCGCTGTCCCCGCAGGGACTGGCACCGAGGCCGCTTCCCGGTGAGGATGCTCCCTTTGCTGGAGCCCCTGGTGCCAGGCTGGGCGTCCAAAGGGGAACCCCATCCCTGCAGAGAAGCGGGTTCATACAGCCTGCGTGAGGCACCTTTTTTGGGTGAGCACAAGCCGTTTTGGGTGGTGCCAACCCCGTGTCCGTGTTGCCTCCGCAGCCCGCCAGCCGTGGGATGGGGCAGTCATGAACGGCGATGCCCTCTGCCAGGAGCCGTCCTCGCCGCTGCCCGACTGGCGCGAGTTCTGCGAGCTGCACGCGCAGGCGGCCGCCGTCGACTTCGCCCAGAAGTTCTGCCAGTTCCTGAGGGAGAACCCGCACTACGACACGCCGGGCGCCGAGGCCTCCTTCTCCCACCACTTCGCCGCCAACTTCTTGGACATCTTCAGCCTGGAGGTGAGCCGGGTGTTCGTGTCCGACTCGCCCACCAAGTACAACATCGTGCCCTTCGTGGGGCTGCAGAACTGCCACGTGCCCTACGGGCGCGACGTGGCGCAGAGGAAGGAGGAGACCTCCACGGAGTCGCTGGACAGCATGGAGCACCCCCTGGGCGCCCAGCGCTACCTGAGCCCCTCGCAGCAGGCGCAGGCGCGCAAGGTCTCCTCCTACGGGCAGTCCCGCAGCTCCGAGGACGTGTCTGTCCATGCCGCCTCCAAGCCCAAGTTCAAGAAGGGCTTCTCGCTGAGGAACATGAGCTTGTGCGTGGTGGACGGCGTCAAGGAGATGTGGCATCGGAAGTCCTCGCCGGAGCCGGGCGCCGAGGCCACACACGGCGGCAGGAGGGCCGAGAGGGAGCCGTGGCCGTCGGGGAGCAAGGAGCACAGTGACTCCCGGGAGAAATGGACCCACAAGCTGCGGCTTTCCAAGGCACAGTCCTCCAAGGTGGACGTGGTGGACATCCAGAGGGAGGGGACCCTCCGCTACATGGTGGCCGACGACACGAACTGTGTGGGGAGCTCGCAGTGGCAGAAGTGCCGGCTGCTGCTCAGGAAGGCAGTGAAGGTGGAAGGGGAGAGGTTCCTGCTCGAGTTCTACGTCCCCCCAAAGGTAGGTCCCCTGCTCGCGTGGGGACACACGAACGCGACTCCCATGCTCGCAGTCCTTGGTCCCTGCAAGTTCTCCGGTGACGGTGCTTTTTATCTCTTGGTGCTGTCCTGGAGGGTGAGCCTATCTGCCCACTTCACACCCCTCCAGGTGGTTTAGTAACCTCCAGATCTTGCTCCTCTAGTCACTGAGGAGTCACCTGGTGTTTGGGCTCAGCCCCCATGCGCAAGCCCTTCAGGGAACCTTGGCCTATGTCGAGTGCGGCCTTTCTGCTGACATTTTTCTTGGTGTTTGAGCTAAATTTGAGCAGCCTTGGTAGTTTCTTTAGGGTTTTTCTTGTCTCTGCTCCTGAGCTGGGATAAAATCCAGCTCTGGCTCGTGGATGGTGGGGACGGTGCCTTTGAACCTGCTTGCATGGGAAAGGCCTGGCCGCTGCCATCGCTTTGACTGGGGACCTTTTGCTTTGCAAAGGGCACCACAGGAGCCCCGTGGGACGGCGGGAGGATGAGCCGTGCCCGTGCCAGCCGCATGGCAGTGCCTGTCATACCCTGTGCAGTCCCGGCTTTGCGGAGCGCTGTGCAAATATTAAGCGAGTCCCTGGGGTTTTACTAGCTCTGTGTGTTCATAATGAAATCGCAGGTTATTCAAATACTTTGTGAAGGGAGGGAAAAAAAAACCCACAACTTGTTTACTTTTCTCCAGGATTTTATGGTTTGTGTTTCCATCTCCAGCCATGAAGCCAGGTAGATGGGGTGCAGAATTCTCCATTGGTCCCAGGGTGCTTCAAACCCTCTATTTGCTGGGCAGATGGTGTCGTGCGCTGCACATGGGTGCAGCAGAATATTGCATGTTTTAAAAGGTGCTCTCTGTTTTTATGAGGCTAAAATGCCCCTTGGCACTGGTGGTGCTAGTCCACGCTGTTTTTCCCCACCTAATCTTCATCTCTTGCTCCGTAGAATATAAATTACCAGTCTAAACTGGAGCACCTCTCTCACAGAGAGAAGCCCTGAGCTCTACGTATAACATATGTCCCTCCCTCGTAGCTGGATCTGATGGCTTCCAAAGGCAGGAACCTGCCTCTCCCTAGGGGCACGTGTGAAACTGAGCTGGAAGAAACCCCCCCCAGCCACGACAGGACACATGGAAAATCCATTAGGGCGAGAGCGTCGCAGGTGTCACCAGACAAGAGGAAGATCTCGTTTCCCTTCACCGGCTCCTGACCCCTGTGCCACACCGCGCGGGCAGCCAGGCTCAGCTCCCCAGCGGCTTCCCTGGGTGTTTCCTCCTCTCCTATCCCAATTGCAGCCCTCCTGGTTTTCAGTTTGTCTCCTGCTCCTCTCAACCCACCTTTCTTCTCCTCTGGCAAATGTTCTAGCTTTAAGAGTTGCCCTGTTTTTGCACGGCTTTTTGCTCTTTGCGTTTGCGTAGATCCTGCAGAAAGCGTGGCCGTGCTCTTAGATTTCCTTAGCAAGTTGCTGCTTTGGCACCGTGCTGACCACAAGGGATGTGCAGCGGAGATGCCAGCGCGACGCTTTGCACGTGGAGGGAAGCACAGAATCTCTGCTCCTCCCAGAAGAGGTGTCCAAAAAGTCCCCGTGTTTTCACCAGCGCTTGTGCGTGGGGGGCAGGTGGTTCCTGTTCTGCTTCTCTGACTGGTTTCTTTTTTCCCCAAAATGGGAACTGAACCTTTGGCAACTCCCGGAGAGGCGTCAGGGCTGCACTGGGTTGGTCAGGACTTGAGACCTCCCTTCCAGGACGCTCGCTTTTCTTTGTTCCAATGGAATTAAAATCCCCTGAGCAGACAAGGCTGGTGGGTCTCGCCTCCTCGGCCGCAGCACTGCTGTAGTGCCGCGCACCCAGGGCACCCTTGGGTGCTGCCCTGTGCCCTCTGTTTTCCCTCGTTGGCTGCCCGTACTGTGCACTACACGCCTCTGCTGTGTAGCAGTACTGGGCATATCTTAATAAAGAAAGGGCTAAAAGGAGCAACATTAAGTGGTGTGGGCAGAGCTGCAGCATCAGCGTGCGCCGAAATGAGGAAGAGGCTTGGCAGTTAAGCACGCTAACTCCCCTGTCTTCCACGGGGCCGTCTCTTGGTTTAATTAAAAGAGCTCAGAGTTGTCAGGCACACGAGGGAAATCAAATCTTTGCCTTTATTTTTATTATTCTCCTTTTTCCTGTCGACGCTCTGTAATAACGGCGATCCTGCCCTATTGTGAGCTGTGACGGGCTGTCCCACGGCAGCGCTTGAGGCAACCGTGCACTTTTCTCCTTCTCAACCCCTGCTCTTTTTTTTTCCTTTGCCAGGCTTCCAAACCAAAGGTGAGCATCCCGCTGTCGGCCATCATTGAGGTGCGCACGACCATGCCCTTGGAGATGCCCGACAAGGACAACACCTTCGTGCTGAAGGTAAGGAGAGGGTGCCCGTGGTGCAGTTCCAGATTGCGCCCTCCTCCTGTGCAGCTCCCGGTCCGCAGGGATAAACCTCAACCCGAAGGCTCCCTGTGGCTTGGTTTGCCTCCCCGAGCCTGACTTTGGTGTCGTCAAGCAGCAATTTGGCTGGTTTTGTTGTCCCTTAAATGGCTTGGATAGCGACCACAAGGCATTGGGTGTTGCGGCACCCTGGGGTGCTGCATTGCACCACGCAGATGAGTTTGCATGGTGAAAGCGGATAGCAAAAGCCTCTCACAATACAGCTAGCGACCCCCTGAGAAAGCCCGTACTGCAAAATACAATTAATTAGCTTAATGGGCTCTGCTGCTCTTTGTGGCAGCTGTGGCAGCAGCTTCTTGCACCAAACAGGGATCCCGGCGTGTTCCAGCGGCAGCGCTGGAAACTGCCTCTGTCTGAGGCCGGGCAGCACTGGGAACCATCCTGAGTTTCATCATTTCACCCTGTCTATCCACCATGGGGAATGTGTCATTCAAGAGGACACCGAGGGCTGCCCGGGGCTCCGTGCGCAGCGGGGACCTCCTGAGCAGGTATCCTGCTCCTGAACGCCCCAGGAGCGCCCAGAGCAGCAGCGTCCTGCAGGATTTCTCTGCCCACGGTGGGTAGAGCCCCGCGTGCAGGACGTGGGCTGTGCAGGGGGAGCGGAGAGGCTTCGCGGGAGAACAAACCTGCTTGAAAGCATGTGGAGCTGTGAAGTGCAGAAAGGAGAACACTGCCAAGCGCAGGCTGCCCTCGGCCTCCCGAGCATCCCCAGCAGCTCCGCTCCCGCCTCCTCGCTGGCCTGTGTCCCAGTGGCCACCCGGAGCGGCGGAGGTGCCCGGAGGCTCCGTGCCTCCGCTGCCAGGGCACTTCCGCTCCTACGCGGATCACGATGGGATGCAGCCCCGGCAGCGATGTCCTTGCTGTGCTGTGCCCACAGCCATTCCTGAGCCCACACGCTGGCATCAGGAAACCGAGTTGCAGTCCGGTCGGGGCTGTCTCTTTCCAAGACCGTTTCCCTGTTTTGAGCCATTCATTCGCATTCCTGCCTTGCGTGCGGCTCGCGAGCACCTCGATGCCATCTGCTTGTCGTTAACACAAAGTGCTGTGCATGAGACAGTCCTTGATGCTGCGACTACTGCTGGCTCTGCCCCGCGCTGAGAACCGGTCACTGCTCCTGAACATGGCCCACCCGCCCCATAGGATCAGGTTTTCCAGATCCTCCTGTGAGGGTTTCCTCCGCACTGTGTTTCCTTATCACATTGTGTCTGCCTGTGCCAGCAGCCTCACTCAAGCCAAGGGTACAACGGTGTCAGCTCCGAGGTCACCTCAGCCATTCCCTTAAATACCCTGGGGGCAAACACGAGCCCCCACACTTCGAGGCACCCGATTTACGAGGTGCCCTCTAACCCGCACCCCCCTCGCCGCACCGCAGCGCTCACCCTGCCATGGGGTTAAGTGGTTGCGATCGATCCTTTGAGCCCAGCACAGCTCAAAGAAAGGCCCTGAGCGCGTCGGCTCCCTCCATGCCACCTGCTCCCCGACCCTGCTCCTCCTCCTCCTTTGCCATTCCTCTCGGGACCGTGCACATACAATACTTTTGTTCTTGGCACCCCCTGTTAGCCCTATCTCGCTTTGTGCACCATCCCTTTTTGCTGTTTTTTTCCATTCCCCCTTTGCAGGCCAGGCACTCAGAGGAGCCAGGCAGCCTCTCATCCAAGCTGGCATCGTGATTTTTTGTCAGAAAGGGCAAGATGCTGCTTTGCTCCATTAAATAAAAGGGATGGAGGGACCGTGACTGCTCCTCTGCCCCTCGCAGCCCTGGCCTCATCTCCCCGTGCGCCCTGTTTATTTCCAGGCCTGTGATTCGGTTGTATGCGATTAAATTAATTTGTTGGAAGGCTGTGGTGGCGGGCAACGGGATACCCGGGTGGATACTCCCAGGCGGGGAGAGCCTGCCCAGGTGCCCTTGGCACGGGGCAATGGCCGAGTCTCTCCGTCCCGCGCTCCGTGTCCTGCTGCGGCGTCCGCGCTGCCGGGAATCTCCGGTGGGAGCACGAGGCTCCGGGCTCCTTGGCGTTCCGCTTTGGTTGCTGTTTTTCCTTTCCAGGTTGGTTTCTCTCTCTCTCTCTCCCTGTTGTGGAGAAGTGCTGGGAAATCAGAAGGACCAGCTGGCATGAAAACAAATTAAAAACACAAGGGAGGGTTTTGCGTCCCGGGTTTGGGGGTCTGGCAGGATGCCTGTGCACTGAGCAAGGCAACAAGCTTCCCAGCGAGCCCCTGCCTGTGCATAGCCTGTATTCGGGGCAGTTTTGGGGACACCCCAGTGCTCTAGCAGGGCTAGACCATGGCACGGGACTGTGCTGGCACTGAGGGTCCCCCCTAGGCCTTTATGCCCAGGTTTGTTCCTGGTTGCTGGTGAAACCCTGCACCAGTTTGCTGCGAATGGGACGGTTTCTGCTGCAAGTCCTGGCTTGGATCCCAGGTTGCGGATGCCCTCGGGCACACGGGAGCATCTCCGCGCTGCATTGCCCCTGGGGTCTGCTCGCTGCCGTGGCAGCGTGTGTTTATTTTCCCACTTTCAGCCTGCATCCAGCAGCACTATTTAATAGTGGCTCGGGGGACTCGGCTTGTGCCGTGTGACTGGAGGCAGGGGCAGACTGACGTCCCGGTTCCGCTTTGTCTCCAGGTGGAAAACGGCGCCGAGTATATCCTGGAGACCATCGACTCCCTGCAGAAGCACTCCTGGGTGGCAGACATCCAAGACTGCATTGACCCCGGGTAAGACCAGCAGGAGGGAGCTGCACAGCAGGGCCATCCAGCTGGCTCGGAAAGCGCGAAGCCCTGGGGAGCAGGGATGGGCATCGCTTCCCCCACCCCTCGCCATGTACCCTAGCTCTGCCCTTCTTAGTGTGGCTTTGGAAAAGCGAGGTTAGCCTGAAGTGAGGTGTCCAAGCTGCAAAGTAGAAAATTCAAGCTGTCCCAAGCCCGGCATCGCTCCTCGCTCTGCTTCATGCAGCCTCTTATCCCTGTGCGCTGGCTTAGCACCCAGCACAAACCCACTTTAGCCTCTGGACAGGACGGTAAAGGAAATAATAATGGACTCTAAAGCAAATAATAATGAGCTGCTTAATACCCTAACACGCATGCAGTGCCAAGAACAAATTCTCATTCGGCTCCCGCGTGCAGCGCTTGGTCCTCTTGCCAAGGACGCCGAGCTGAAACCTCTGCCTAAGTGCCCTGTCAACGGATTTTTTGCAGAGCTCAGTCAGTTTTGGTTTTCTTCCCTTTTTTTTTTTCTCCTCTCATTGTCAAACGGTTGCAGCTGAATGACTCCCAATGGCTGATTCACTTACTGGTCACTAAATTATTCAGCAGCTCCCTCGTGAGCCATTACCGCTAACACAGCGCGCTTCCTCGGCTGCCTGCAAACACGTGTCCGCTGTTAAGCAAGAGCGAGCGAGCCCGCCGCGAGCAGCTCCCCGCAGGCACGGGGCTCTTGGCGGCAGCTGGGCTAAAAATAGGAGGCGAAGCAAGCGTGACTTCTTGCATAAGAACCATGCCGAAGTGCACGGGTGGTGGGGCAGGCAGCAAGCTGGCCCGGCCGCGCTGCCTCATGCAGCAGTCAGCATCCTCAGCATCGTGTTTTGTTGCCCCAAGGGGAAGTTTTAGTGCCCCTGCTGCAGCTTCTCACCCACATCGTTTGGCTGGAAATGTTTCAAGCCGCCCTCGGGGCAGTTCCTGCTCGCCCTGGCAGCAGCTGTCTCCGCTCTGTCTTTTGGTGCCGTGGGGACTTCTGCTGCAGCCGGCTCGGAGGAGCGTGCAGAGCTGCGTGTCGCCGTGACGGTGACGAGGAAAGTCCCCGCTGCGTGGCTGCAAGCAGCGCCGTCCCCGCGGCCCGCGCGCAACGTGTGCTCTCCTCGCAGGGACAGCGGGGACGACATCGAGCTGGCTGCCTGCGCGCAGGGAGCCTGCCTGCCAGGCAGGGTGTCCTCCTGCAGCTGCGAATTTCTGGCTGATGGTAAGGAGGCCTGGAAAAGCCCAAATCCCCAGGAGCGGCCCTGTGGGAGGCGGGTGTCTCTGCATGTCAGCCCTGGGTTGGGAAGACGGATCCTCACAGTGACAATGCGGGGGGGAAGCCAAAACTGCAGCAGCTACCAAGTGCTATAGGGATGGGTCTTCCTCTGTCCATCATCCTCCTCATCCGGGGCCTGACAGCCAGCTAGGGTGAAGGTGGCCCCCGTCGCTGAAGGCTCGGGAGATGCTGAACCGCTGGGCACCTCCCTCTGTGCATTCCCTCGCAGATGCGCCCAGGCCGCCGGACAGATGTGCCATGCCCAGCGCTCACAGTGCCACCCCTGCAGCCTCCACAGCCACCACTGTCACTGCAGCCCACGGCCGCGCCAGGGACTCGGTGGGGGAGCTGCTGACCCATGTCCCGCTGGAGAACTTCCTGCAGACCCTGGAGTCTCCTGGTGCTGCCGGAGGGCACCCAGCAGGTACCTGGGCAGGGGCTGGGCTGGCGCAGGTCATGCCACCACCATGCCAGCATGACATACTGTTCCTGAGCCAACCAGGGGGCTCGGGAGGGTGAGGAGAGGAGGATGAAGAGCAGAGAAGGCTGGAGCCTTCCCCTGTGCTGTCCCTGAATCGAGGTGGTGCCTGCCTTGGTGCCAGGCAGCCTCAGTCTTGCTTAAAATGCTTCTGTCTTCACGGCCAGGGGAGGATGGTGAGGCTGAAGCGGAGATCAACCTCTCCGACTACCCCTGGTTCCACGGCACACTGTCGCGCATCAAGGCGGCCCAGCTGGTGCTGTTGGGGGGAGCCAGGAGCCACGGCCTGTTCGTCATCCGGCAGAGCGAGACGCGGCCGGGCGAGTACGTGCTGACCTTCAACTTCCAGGGCAAAGCCAAGGTGGGTGCCGCCGGCTTCGCTCCGCGTCGCTGCGGGGCCCGGCTGGTGCCGGTGGCAGCACTCAGCCTCCCGCCTCCTCCTCGCAGCACCTGCGGCTGTCGCTGAACGAGAGCGGGCAGTGCCACGTGCAGCACCTCTGGTTCCAGAGCATCTTCGACATGCTGCGCCACTTCCACACGCACCCCATCCCGCTGGAGTCGGGCGGCGCCGCCGACATCACGCTCCGCAGCTACGTGGTGGCCCAGAGCCCGCTGCTGGGTACGTGCCGGGAATGCCACCGGGAAGCGGGACGGGACCTGGGGACTGCCGGCCGTGGGGCTTGCGGATTTGGGCGAGAGCGGGATGGCCACACAGTCCCAATCCTGATGGGCCATGGGGCTGCACGGTGGCCAGGCTGTGACGGGTGGCCTGCGTGTCCCTGGCAGTGACCAGCACTCTTCTGGCTCCGAGATGATCAGGGAGTCCCCCTGGCTCACACGGATGCCAAGAGCCTCTTGGCTGGGGAGAGGGTCTGGGAAGAAGGAGGTGGGTGAGGGAGAGGGTTGGGCAGCAAGGAAGGAGTTGGTGGGGAGAGGGTCTGGGAAGGAGGAGGGAGAGGGAAAGGGTTGGGCAACAGGGAAGCAGTTGTTGGGGAGAGGGTCTGGCAAGAAGCGCTCAGGGAGGGAGAGGCTGTGCCAGCCCGCCCTGCCTCACCGGAGGGACTGAACTCGCGTCTCCTCCACAGACACGGTCCCGGCGCCGGCGCCGCCGCAGCCGGGCTGCCGGCCGGAGCTGCCGGCCCCGCACTACCTGTGCGGCCCG